CGTGGGATTCCCCACCCCAAACATCTCCATGGGTTTCGGGATCTGTCCTGCTTTTTTTGAGGAGAATTTCCATGGGATCGGGTCCTGTTCCGCTTTTTGGGAGCATCTCCGAGGGTGTTTGGGAAGCGTTTCCATGGGATTGGCTTTTCCCGGGATGTGCTGGATCTCTGTCGGGGTGAAGGACACAGCCAGGACACAGCCAGGACACAGCCCGGACACAGCCAGGACACAGCTCAGGGACATTTTCCTGCCTCGCTGTGAGTAGAATTCCCTTGGGATCACTCGAATTCCCTTGGGATTTCCCCGGGATCTCTGCCCCCCTTCTAAGGAGCTGTTCCTCGCCTCCTCATCCCTGTGCTGTTTTTGGGATATACAACGCGGCAGCTCCCGCTGCTCCATCGGCAGATCCCTGCTGCCACCACGTGGATTCGGCTGGGATGGTTCGGGAAAAGATTCCCAGCTTTTTCCCGTTATCCATCCATCCATCCATCCATCCATCCATCCATCCATCCATCCCTCCATCCATCATCCATCCATCATCCATCATCCATCCCTCCATCCATCATCCATCCATCATCCATCATCCATCCATCCATCCATCATCCATCCATCATCCATCATCCATCCATCCATCCATCATCCATCATCCATCCATCCATCCATCCATCCAGCATCCATCCATCCATCATCCATCATCCATCCATCCATCCATCCATCCATCCATCCATCCATCCATCATCCATCCATCATCCATCCATCATCCATCATCCATCCATCATCCATCCATCCATCCATCATCCATCATCCATCCATCATCCATCCATCCATCATCCATCATCCATCCATCATCCATCCATCCATCCATCATCCATCATCCATCCATCATCCATCCATCCATCATCCATCCATCATCCATCCATCATCCATCCATCCATCCATCATCCATCCATCCATCATCCATCCATCCATCCATCCATCCATCCATCATCCATCCATCATCCATCATCCATCCATCCATCCATCCATCCATCCATCCATCCATCCATCCATCATCCATCATCCATCCATCATCCATCCATCCATCCATCCATCCATCCATCCATCATCCATCCATCCATCCATCCATCCATCCATCCATCCATCCATCATCCATCCATCCATCATCCATCCCAAGGATAATGGATGGGGATGCATGGATGGAGGGATGGATGAAAAATATTAATAAATAGAAATAAATAAAAATATAAATACAAAATATAAATATATTTAGATATTATAATATCTAATATCTAATATCTAATATCTAATATCTAATATCTAATATCTAATATCTAATATCTAATATCTAATATCTAATATCTAATATCTAATATCTAATATCTAATATAATATAATATATTTTGATATTTACTATTATTTTTAGTAAATAATGCCATTAATATGGTAATACATATATTATAATAAATGTAATATATATATTAGAATATTATATATTAGATATTAGATATTATATATTAGATATTATATCCTAGATATACTATATATTATATAGTATATATCTATTATATCATATATAATAGATAGAATTTTATATAGACATACAAAATATATACACAAATATTTATATTTCTAAATTTCTATTTTTAAATATAATATATAATATTAATATGAACGAGATAATGATTCATTACTAATTGATTAGTTAGTATTAATAATTTAATTAGAATTAAAAATAATATTAATTTTTTTTTCCTATTATAATTTACAGTTATTCCCATTCCCATCCCTTTGCCTGAAGTCTCTGGATTTCAGGATTATCATAAATCTTGGAAAACCCCTGGATGTCATCTGGGAATAAAATTCCCGGGAAGATCCCGGCTGCAAATAAAGCAGGAAAACCCCCAAAAATCCCGCAGGAAAAGCCAAAGGAATGGCGATGCTGAAAGTTGGGAAAAAAGTTGGGAAATGGGGAATAAATCCCGTTTTTCCATGTTTTCAACCGGGAGCCGTTAGATGGCAGCAACGCCCGGGAAAAAAAAACAAACTGGGAAAAGGGAATTTGAGGATTTTGAGGCTCCCTTGGGCTCAGCTTCCATTGAAAATTCCTAAATTTTAAAATTTCTACGGATTCCGGCGCTCCTGGATTTTCCCTCCTCTCCTCATGCCCGGATTTTCCCCCTTTTAGGCAAAATTTTCCAGTGAAATCGCAAAATTCGGGATCGAGACAATCCCGAATTCTGTTTTAGGGTCCCGATTATCTTCAGGAAATTCCTGGGATTCTTTATCCCCTTCCCAAAATGGTTTGGAGCTCCAAGGTTGGGGATGGAGGTCCAGGGATGGGATGGAGCTCCGGGAATGGGATGGAGATCTAGGAATGGGATGGAGCAGCAGGAATGGGATGAGGAGGATCCAGCAGTTCCTGGGAACCCCTGACCTTTCCCAGAGCTTTTCCAGGGCTTTTCCAGAGCCCCAGCTCCCTCTGGAATTCCCATGGAGCCAGCTCAGCTTTTCTTCCACTTCCCGGGAGCAAATCCAGGGAAAGCAGAGAGGAAGGGAAGGCGCTGAGGAAGCAGGATGAGGAAAACTCTGGGAAGCAGAAATGACGGGAGCGTCTCCGGGAGCGCCTGGGATGCGCCGGGAATTCTGCTGGAGCTGCAGAAATTCTCCCGGAAGGAACTTTTCCCTCTCCCTGTTCCCAGGGATGGGAATTGGGAGAGCCCCCAGAATTCCAGGGATTCCCAGAATTTGTGAGCCCGGCAATTCCAGGGATTCCCGGATTTCCAGGAGGCCCAGCTGCTCTCCCTGTTGGATCCCGGAGCTCTCCCTGTTCCCATCCATGGATCCATGGATTCCAGGGAAAATCCCATTCCTGCAGGATCCAGGGTCACCTCTGGCTGTTTATCCTTGGATACACCTGGAAGGATCCATGGGGGAAGTTGTGGAGTTTTTTGGGATGCGCCGAGAGCATTCCCAACCCTTTTCCCTGGAAACTGAGGCAGCTTTGCCGACTTTTCCATGAATGTCCAGGACATCCCAGTAAAAGGACAAAACCTTCGGGATTTGGGATCGGGGAATGAACCAAATCCTTGGGATTTGGGAGAGGGAAAAAATCAAAGCTCCTGGATTTGGGATCAGGGAAAGATCCAAACCTTTGGGATTTGGGAGGGAATGATCCAAACCTTCGGGATTTGGGGGCACGGAATGAAACCTCCGGGTCTGAACGCGGCTTTGGATTTGTCCTTTTCCTTTTATTTTCCTTTCCCCTCATCCCAAAGCCGTTCCCGCGTGTCCTTCCCGGCAGGACGAGCCCGAGATGTCCCCGGGCGTTTTTAATCTCCCAAATGCTTCCCAAAATTAATCACGGAGAGTGCAGGAGCGGGGGAGGGAGCGCCCCGTCCTTGGCGTTCATCCCTCGGGAATGCGGGATCGGCGGGATCGGGAGGCAGGAAGGGGTTAAAGAGAAGGTGAAACATGAACCGGGAGAAAGGCGGGATCTGGGAAAGCTTTCCCGGGATGGAAAACAATCCAATGTCCTCTGGAAGGGCTCCAGGGCCTCGTTCCCAGCCAGCCGGGAATTCTCCCCTCCAGCGGTCACAGGGAAAGGGCAAAAATCCGGGATTTGGGATGGGGACAAAAGAGGTTTGCACATTCCAAGGGGCTGGAATGCTCCAACAGCTGGAATTTGCCGTGGGAAAAGCAGGAATGTGTGGGGAACACGAGAGGAAGCTCCGGAGAGAGGGGTTCAATGACGACGGGCAAAAAATGAGGAGATTTTGGGATTCGTGGAATTTCTCAGCTGAAACATCCACCAAAACCAAAAAAAAAGACTCGGGAATTCCAGCCCGGCAGCAGCGGGATGGTCCCTCTGGAAAGGAGGATCCGGGATTTGCTGGCTGAGCAAACACGGCCCTGTTTAAATTGCCCTGAGCAAACGGGTGCGCCCAGATCCTCCCGGCTCTTCCCGGAGCCTCCGGGCTCCGATCCCGGCAGCGCCCAAGGGATTGATCCATTCCTGTATCCTGGGAATGGGAACCAATGAAATCCAAGGGTTTGATCCATTCCTGCATCCCAGGGATGGGAACAAATGAAATCCAAGGGTTTGATCCCTTCCTGCATCTCGGGAATGGGAACAGACCAAATCCAAGGGTTTGATCCATTCCTGCATCCCAGGGATGGGAACAGACCAAATCCAAGGGTTTGATCCATTCCTGCATCCCGGGAATGGGAACAGACCAAATCCAAGGGTTTGATCCATTCCTGCATCCCAAGGAATGGGAAAAAGCCAAATCCAAGGGTTTGATCCCCTCCTGCATCCCAGGGATGGGAACAGACCAAATCCAAGGGTTTGATCCATTCCTGCATCCCAAGGAATGGGAACAAATGAAATCCAAGGGTTTGATCCATTCCTGCATCCCGGGGATGGGAACAGACCAGATCCAAGAGTTTGATCCATTCCTGCATCCCGGGGATGGGAACAGACCAGATCCAAGGGTTTGATCCATTCCTGCATCCCAGGGATGGGAACAGACCAGATCCAAGGGTTTGATCCATTCCTGCATCCCAGGGATGGGAACAAATGAAATCCAAGGGTTTGATCCCCTCCTGCATCTCGGGAATGGGAACAAATGAAATCCAAGGGTTTGATCCCCTCCTGCATCTCGGGAATGGGAACAGACCAAATCCAAGGGTTTGATCCATTCCTGCATCCCAAGGAATGGGAAAAAGCCAAATCCAAGGGTTTGATCCCTTCCTGCATCCTGGGAATAGGAACACATCAAATCCAAGGGTTTGATCCTTTCTTCCATCCCGGACAGTGGGAAAAGGCCAAATCCAAGGGTTTGATCCCTTCCTGCATCCCAAGGAATGGGAAAAAACCAAATCCAAGGGTTTGATCCCTTCCTGCATCCCGGGAATGGGACCACCCCATGTCCATGGAAGTCTGGGCTGCCCAGCTCCAGCTGGGGGCTCCTCCTCCAGCCTCCCCCTCTCCTGGGGTCCCTTCAGTGCGGCGGAGGCTCCGCGCCCGCCTCGGGCAGCGCCAGCACCGCGGGCAGGAGGTTCCCGTGCGGCTCCGGGAACGGCCGCAGCTCCTTGGCCCCGAAGCGCGGCGAGACGGGATCGGCGAGGAAGCGCAGATGGAAACCCCGGCCCAGGCAGTGGATGAGGCCGCCCAGGGCGGCGCAGCTCAGCCCGGCCGGCTCGCCCAGGGGGCGGCTGGCACAGCGGTACCACAGCCCCGCGCTG